GTCACGGAAAAATGGCAGCATTTTAACGAGTACATGACACGACCACACGACGAGTATACTCATCGCACGTAAAATAACATTCAACCATAAATACTTTAATGCAAAATAAAAACGATCCACCACGATTGCAACGATTCAGACGTCGAATAAAAATGCACCTCTTCCGTTAATTAATTCGTCCGGTTGGAAGTGTAATGCGACAATATTTCTACGACAAATTCTCCGAGCGTTTCGATCACCGCGTCGTCCAATCGACGACAGAGAATCCGTGGTCGTAGAGCTTGTACACATTTGACGTCGCCTCTACGTAACGGGAGAAAATAATTCGATGGCCGATATTCGCGTTTGTTGGGCGGGGAAAACAATTTCCACTCCGATATCGGCGGTAAAAGGCGGTGGCAGCTTCGGAAAAATCCGTGGGAACTTCGAGATCGAACCGTTGGACAAACAATTCCATCGGGGCTTGTCCGTGGTATAAAAGGGGCGGCGAAAGGGACGGCGGAATCGTTTCATTTGCCGGGCGAACGAGTAATTTCTTTCCAGTTCGGAGAAGCGGTAATTTGTTACAGCGTGATGAGCAACGGAACACCGGAGCCCCGGCGATATCCCATTCGATATATAAATTGTAAACAGAGCTGATGAAATTAGCGTCGTTCAGTTCCAACGACGCGCCGCCCGCCGCCCCGTAATTCCAATTTATTATTTCGTTCCGGGTTTCCTGATAATACCGTTGCCGGACCCCTGCCTTTCGGTTCGCCGGCGCTCCCATTACGCGACCCGTCGGCACGCATCGCTTGATTGAATTGCTCGAGAATCAAAAACGAAACGGACGAGCACAGAGGAAAGAATGAAGTCGCCGGAGCGCCGCGATCTCTAAGACGGAATTTATACTGCTCGCAACTCCCGTTAAACTCGAAAAGGGCGGAAAGAGATAGTTCGGACGATTTCGAGCAACTTTCTCCTTAGCGGGAATTTTCCACGAGGCTTGGTTCGCGAGTTATTAACGAAAAACGCTCGGTCGGCGCGCCCCGCCCACGCGGCACCGGCGCGCCGCGCCATTGGCTGCGGGGACGCGCTCGCCCGCTGATTGGGCCCGCGTATTTCGTTAATATCTAGTAAACGAGGCCGCGGAGAGGATTTCCGCAAAGGAAAAAGTTGCTCGAAATCGTCCGCGGAATCGTTTCGTGCGCCGTGGAAACGAATCGAGCGCGGTCGAGACGATCCGCGACAGTCTTTGTTTTACGGCGACGTGGCACAAATACCGCGAACGGAAAATAAAATTTCCGCACGAACGGAGGAGCTCCGACGAAATCCGAGATTTCCTAAAAAGCCTTTTTATATTTCCGCATTTAGGAATCGCTGTTTTTACGAGACAGTTTCCCGGCGCCGATCGTCGAATCGAATCGAAGCGAACGCGAAGGCTTCCTCTCGGTGGAACACACGTCACCGGGGGAAATATTCCCGAACCGGGCGAAGTGCACGGCCATTCTTCTCCGACCTATTCGCCGGCTGATCGATCCCTTCCCTCCGTGTACGTGACGCGTAAATTCCCCGCAAAAGAGGGACCCTACCGTCCCGATATAAACTATAAGCACGGCCCGCGGAATTAGCATTGTCTGATCCAGGCGATAACGTCGAGCCATAATCTACGGGCCGGCGACTCTAATGAACGAATAGTTTTTGCCGGATGTGACCCGGTTAAGATTTATGTCGTCATAAATTCGCTCGCTCGCTCGCTCGCTCGCGCGCGCACAATGCTCCGCGGCTTGCATCCGATAAAAATCCACTCGCTCCGGCCTAAACGTTAAACGGGTTCGAACATTCATCTCACGTGCCCGGGAGCGAACGCGGCCACCCCCTCCCCCTACAGCTGCCACCCCGTGCAACCCTGTTCCACTGCGTCCGCCACCATACACCCCCTCTCCCCCGCCCGCTGGCACCGTGTTCGCGCTCGCCAGCGAAACAGAAGCGCGTAAATCGAGCCGGACGTAGTATCGCGACAACAAAATCCGCGGACACCTTCGAGTGCCGAGCCAACGAACCGACGAGTAATGGGGCCCCCTTCGCGTAACAGATTGCGGCCAGAAATTTCGACGAGCCTCCCCGTCGAATTAGCCGACATGTGGCGGACTCGTGTAGGGGGAACCGGCCGCGGGACCGCGGAGATCACGGCTTTCCCGTAGGCCTTCTACGCGCCGAGACTTTCGCCGGGATGCTCTCTTTGTTTGAGGGAACTGCTCCCTCCAGACGGCCTCGTTTAGAACGTCCAGACGGTACCGCTGCATGGTGCCCTGCCTCTTCATAGTCGCCGATTGTCAAGGTTATTTTATTTTATTTTTATATAATTTTATTTTAACTTTATTCAATTTTGTTCGATTTTATTTAGTTTTGTTCAATTTTGTTCAATTTCGTTCAATTTTGTTCAATTTTGTTCAATTTTATTCAATTTTATTCAATTCTATTGAATTTTATTCAATTGCTTCCAATTGCATTCAATTGCATTCAATTTTATTCAATGTTAATCAGTGTTATTCAATTTTATTCCATTTTATTCAATTCTATTGAATTTTATTAAATTTTGTTCAATTCCATTCAATTGCATTCAATTTTATTCAATGTTATTCAATATTATTCACTTTTGTTCAATTGCATTCAATTGCATTTAATTTTATTCAATGTTATTCGATTTTATTCAATTTTATTCACTTTTATTCAACTGCATTGAATTGCATTGAATTGCACTGATTTGCATTGAATTGCATTGATTTGCATTGATTTGCATTGAATTGCATTGTTTTGCATCGATTTGCATTTAATTGCATTGAATTTCATTCAATTCCATTCAATTTCATTCAATTCCATCCAATTCCATTCAATTCCATTCAATTTTATCGGCGATGAATCACGTGACATCAGCGTACAACTTTTGTACAACAATATTTGTTTCTTAATATTCCATCGAATATGAATTCGAACGGCGCGATTATTGCAACTCTAATCGCAAAATAAAAAAGAGTTGTAAACAAATGCTTTTGCATTAAAACGGAGACCCTGTATATTCCCAATGGTATTGTTTCGCCGGCGCAACGCTCCAATATTTAACCCATCGAACCTAATTCGCCCAGGGAAATGCGCCGTCGGTGGAACGGGCGAGCCACGCGTAAACACGGCATAATTTCCCGGGCAGCGTCCAATTATAACAAAAATAATTGCGGGGAACAACGAACCGGTCGCCGAAAGACATTGAATATTATCGCGCGCTGCATTATTCACGGGGGAACGTTCTAAACGAGGAACAAACGGGCGCGGATACGCGCACGTATAAGCCCGCGGTGATCCATCGCGAGCGGGAGGTCCACGGAAGGTGTGCAAAGGTTCGGCAAACAAAAAACCCGTTAAAGAAAGGAAAAAGTGCGCGCGGCGGGCTCCGGCGCGCTGTCGTGATATCCGGCCGGCCGTGGTCTGTTCATGTCCTAACACCGAAAATCCCGCGAACACCTATCCATTACATTATTACCACCTACGCCGTGGCCTATCATTATGCATACGCAAGTGCCTGGACGCGGCGTTATCCTTCTTCCCGGCGTTGTAATCATATTACGGGGTACACGGCCAGGCAATGGCTCGCGTTACACCGTAATTTTCCGCCCACGCGATCTCACCCCGCGCCGGTTTCGCACATCGTCGAGTTGACCGTCGAACCGGCTGCCCGGGAACAACGAAAACGAGGGGGGAAAGGTGGACTCGGGTAATGACGAAAGGGAGGGACAGGGGGACGCGGGTAAACGGGGGGAAGGGGAGACCGAAGGCAACGACGAAATTGGTTGGGGCGGGGAGGACCGGGGTACGACGGAAGTTGCGGGAAGAAGGGACAAAGCTTGTCGACAAAATTGGGGGAAGCGGGGACACAGGTGGCAACCAGAGGTGGGGATGGAAACAGTTGCCAAACTTGTAGGGACACTTTGTCGACATTGTGGAGCTGCTTTGACAAGATTGTGAAAATACTTTGGCAACGCTGTGAGGACGGTTTGGTAGTACTGTAAAAATACATTGGCAAAGTTGTTTGGACACTTTGTCATGATTGTAGGAATGCTCTGTTGAGATTTGGGAAAATGCATTGGCAACGCTGTGAAGACAGTTTGGCAACACTGTAAAGATAGTTTGCGAACAATGAATGCCAACAATGAATTGCCAAATTAGTAGGGACACTTTGTCAAGATTGTAGGGGTGCTTTATCAGAATTGTGAAAATGCTTTGATAACTCTGTAAGGACAGTTTGGCAACAATGCAAAAGTTCTTCATGGAAATTGTAGAAATGCATTTCTAGAGTTGCAGGGACACTTTGTCAAGATTGTAGGGATGCTGTATCAAAATTGTGAAAATACTCTGAAAACACTGTAATGACAGTTTAGCAACACTGTAAAAATGCTTCGTGAACAATGTTTGGAATACATTGCCAAAAATTGTTGCAACACTTCGGTAAGATTGTAGAGCTGCTTTGCCGAGATTGTAATAATGCTTTGGTAACACTGTATGAAAAGTTCGGCAACACTGTCACAATGCTTCGTGGACATCGTAGAAATGCATTGTCAAAGTTGTAGGGCCACTTCGTTACGATTAAAGTTTGCTTTGTCAAAATTGCAAAAATGCTTTGACAACACTGTAAGGAAAGTTTGGCAACGCTGTACAAATCCTTCGTGGGCAATGTAGAAATGCATTGGCATAAATATATTACATAGACGTAGGACTAGCACACGGAAATTTACAGCAACTCGAAATATGGCATTTCCGGGAAAAATGTGATAACAATAACAGAGAGAGAGAGAGAGAGAGAGAGAGAGAGAGGCGTAGGTAACAAGGAAAGGTGGCGAAGAGGAGGAAGGTGGCACAGGTGAGCCCGTTGACGGGGTCGCGTTGCATAAGGATAAAATGGAGCGTCGGCGCGTAATTGATCGTCTGGTGGCGGTTCTCGGACGTGGATAAATGATTTCGATACGAACCTGCTTGTTCAATATGTCCCACGTTTGAAGCTGCTGCTCGGCTTCTTGGCTCCGCGGGCTCGGCTTCGGCTGCGAGTCCCTTTGCACCAGATAAAGCGGCCTCGAGCCACGGACCGCGCCGTTAGCCGGCAAAACTCCGGCGGCGGACGCCGGCTCCTCCTTGTGATATTGCCAAACCACTTGCATCGTGTCGTTCTGGAACACAAAGCGAAAACGACGGTATAAAGTCAAGTCGAGCCGAGCAGAGCGGAGCAGAGCGGAGCGTAGTCGTTCATTTTTGTTATCGAGAAATATCGATAAGGGCGGCTTTAGGGAGCACAAAGCGCCGTCTTTTATGCCCGGGCTCGCTATAAAAGTCGGAGCCTTCGGATAGAAGAGGCGACCGCGTAACGAGAAACAGAGAGAGAGAGAGAGAGAAAGAGAGAGAGAGGGGCTCTCTATCTCTATCTCCGCTTCTTTCGTGCTTTCACGTTCAAATTCCGCAGGAATATTCTCGAGACGGCGGGCAAAAGGACGGGGCCACTCGACCGAGAATTTTTAATTTAACCCTTTTTATTTCGCAATATCCCCCGGCGGCGATCTCATATTGGCTGTGTTTCGACGTGGCCGTCCGTGAGCCGGCGAAAAGCGTTCCCGTGTACGCCGCGTTAACCCGCCGCGTCCCGTTATCCTGGTCCGCCGCGTTCAGGGTTGCTCCAAGACCGCGACTTTTCTTTCCTCGGCCGAATAAAACCGATACGGCGCAAGCTGATCAGCCGTGCACGCGACGCAGCACCGAATAACACGGAGTCGAATATGTAAATCGTATATCGAAGGGAGCCGCGCGCGCTCGGCCGACGCTTCCACGGCGCATTATTAGGGTCAATTTATGCGGTCCGTTCGAGAATAGAACGTTTCCAGTAAGGGAAATATCGCTGCGGGTTATTTATGCGCCTGGGGTCCATCTGGACTCCGTGTATGAATATCGTTTGACCGTTAAGGTTTCGACGATTCATCTCGTCGCGAAGGATTGTTATTGTTTTGAGCACTGACGCCTGATACGCGTAACCGGAGTCGCTGGACGGCTGACGCAAGCACGCGCGACCGATGAGTCATCATTGGCCGTGACAACAGTCGCTCAGCATCTTCGGGCGCTGTCGGTTGACTCGCGTGCCGCGGCAGCGCGATGAGCAGTCACTGTCGTGAACGAGATAATTTAAATGGCTCGCGCGTGTTTCAGCGAGGACCGCGGAGAAATTAAGAAACTCTAGAAGGAGTTATCTGATAAAATATTATTATTATTACTGTATTATTATATATAGTAAATATATAGTATATAGTAATAATAATATGTATAATGATATAATAATAAAATATAATAATATAATAATAATATATAATAATATAATAATAATATATAGTAATATAATAATAATATATATTATATTTCGTCCGGAAAAAGGTCAACAACCGTCGGAATCTTAAATGCGGTTTTTTATCACGCACAACCGCGCGCTAAAAACCGTGGCCCTTGCACTTTGCTGCGTCCATTAAAACGAACTGGAATCATTAAAATTTGTAACACCAGTGTAACACAAATTTAATGCCAATAACGCCGCTGTACAATGTTGACAGGTCCGTCCCCCTGTTACAATTCCAGAGAGCATGACTGGCGCGCAGCGGGTGGGGTGGGGGGGAAGGGGCAGCGGCTTCGCAGCATAATCTAATTCGAATTGCTTGTCAGCGGTGTAATATCGGGACGGTCGATTCGCGCGGGTATGAAAGAGTAATCGAGTCGGACCGCAGAGTGGTCCGATTTGAAGAATTCAGTGACACGTAAATATAAATATGAAAATACATATTTAGAAAGCGAAAAATAGCTCGCACAATTACGTTTAAACAATTTTTTCTTTAAATCGAATATAGCGATGAAAATTTATTGAAATTCACCGTTCCACAAATGCAAAAAATATTTAACCATCTGTGGCTGAAAACTGCTATTGTTTAATTATTTTTAGCGAAAGTTTCATCGCGATATCTCGATCGGTTCGAGAGTTGTAACATTCTCGAAACCGGGCCACTGCGCGGCCCAGTAAAATCCGCCGAGTCCGCGAAAGACGGTTCGGCGAAGGAGTTGGGCGGCGACGACTAATCTGATCGCGGTAATTAATCTCGGCGCACGCGATAAGGGCCCCGCCCTGGGTCGAATGAAACATTAACGATGCTGCATCTGGCCGATGCTCTCCAATCAAGTGTGATTGTTCCGAATTGTGAGTGGCCGAGGAGCACAGTATGCCGGACGCATAACTCGGATCGATATACATGTTTCGAGGTCGACCACCGATAGCTGCATAGGAATACCATTGCCTGGTATTGTTGTAGAACGTGGGCGGTGGCGGTGGTGGGGGGAGAGGGCAACCGTGGGCCACCCCTCGTCTCTCGCGTCCCTTTCTTTTCGAGGGCGCCGCGCACAGGCTGTGCGGCCGCACGACAGACACAGATTATCGGTACACACGGCGCGGAGAATTGATCCCCGAGGCATGCCTGCACGTAAAACTTTCGGAGATGAAAATGCCCCGGATTGATTGCTCGCCCGTTCACGCTTCGCGTGGGAACGTTCTGGCTGACGTCACGTGAACAAACCAGACGCGTCCGTATATTTATTAAACGGGAACAAAGCGGGGGCTCGGATTCGGTCGGCGCGTCGCTGCAAGTTGTTTGCTTGGAAACTGCGCGCGTCTGACACCGATTCTTGACAAGCCGGATTCTCGCGACATCGGAACCGAAACCGGGACGCCGATCTGTCACGATCCACCGCGAATATTTTGCGTGGATTTAAATGGAGTCGGCGGATTTAAATCGAAGCGAGGCCGGGCCTGAAATTTCACTCGATATCGGATCGTCGATAGCATAAATGGATAGCCGAGATTCTGCCGATTAAAATGAGCCCAAACACGACGTAAATCGGTCCGGTCCGGTTTAAGCTTTTCGCAATCTATAGGGTGACCGAAACGACTCGACCAATTTACTTGTTTACGTTCGTTCGAGAAAACGTCGAAGAAACATATTGCTGGGGGACTAACTGTGAATCGTTGGGTCTATATAGCGACGAAAATATGTACTTTCGTTAAAAAAAAGAAAACAGACAAATCAAAATCGCGGAACGCACGATCTTCGGACGAATTTTCTCTTCGCCAGTTCCATCGTTCTAACCGAACAATGTTTCTTACGGTCATTCGCGCGAAGATAAATAAAATACAATTCGAAGCGATCGATTCAATTCGTTCACCCGGTATATAGTACCAAGCTCTACGCGGCCCGATCTCCGTCGTGTTTGGACTCGTTTGAATCGGAAGAACCTCGGCTATCCGATGGCGGTGCAATTATGAAGGTCCCGGCAAGCCCGAGTTTTCGAAATTGCCGAAATTCTCCCGGACAAATAAACGATCGTCTCGGTTTACGTTTCTGGCACGGCAATTGGGTCAGCGATGATTCTAAACGACGACGATCACCCGGTTGCACAGTATTATAATCCCAGCCGCAAGAATGTTCGCGTAGTTAATGCCGCGATGAAAATTTCGGCGAAAAACTGGTCGCGGGCAACGTTCTACCGCGCGGCGGCCCTTGCCCCCGGTTTTTCGGCTGGGCCAATTTGGCCGAGGCTTAAACTATTCCAATTATAATTTCGTTCGTCGGGATATTTGATATATTCTCAAGCAGCGTGTAAATGCGTTCGCCCGAACAAAATTGCGCGGCGGATTATTAAAATGCCGGCCGATGATACTCGAGAGCCTTGGAACCGGCGTTATCCGCAAGTGGAGTTTCGGCGGCCGGCAGAGGCGGAGGGGGGAGGGGGAGCAGCGGAAAACGCGCTCGCGGCCGGCGAGCGCATGTTTCATACACGATTTCATCGGAACGGTTGCGCGAACGAGGCTCGCGCTAATTTGTCGGCAGCCGTACGAAAGCGGCCGTGTACAACGTTCCGCGGCTGGAACCGCGCCAGCTACCAAGCAAATGCTCGCATCGCGTGGAATTGGCCGAGACCAGTTCCTCAGCAGTTGAATCGTAATCGAATCCGGCCTCGAATCGTTCCGCGGAGAGTCGCGATTTACGTCCGCCTTCGATCAACAGGAGCCATATTTATCGGGAAACGTGGCTCTTTCGACGATCGGAATTAATTAATTCGGGATCGATCACATCGCGCCGAGGATCCCGTTGTTCACGCTCGAGCCCGCGCAGGTGTCGATTTCGAGGATCGCCGGGAAAAGATAGATCCAGGTGTCTGCTCGATTTCATACCGATCGATGGAGTCCAATCGCGATAAATTCCACGCAAAGGGTTCATTTATGCGCTCCGACACGAAACGTTCCGAAACTTGCGCCTCGGTCAAATACGGTGTAGTATTTATGCTGGCCAACCAGTGCACACGAGCCAGCGACCCTCGAAATGATACCCCCACCACCACGCACGAATCTGCACTGTTGCGATTCGTTGGACTGCTATGGCGATGTCATTCAGTCTTTCATATTAAATGGGAAGAAATTTCTTGTCTTTACGTTGTCGATGCTTTGTCATTACAATTCTTACATATATGTGATAAACGATAATTTTATTTTTTTTTACTGGACGACGAGGAAGTGGCAACGTTGCTCTGAAAGGGCTCAATTTAACATTAGGAATTTTATTTCCCAGATGAAGGAGACCAGTAATTATTTTGTGACTGTCACGGCCGTAAGGATAATTTGTCAAGGTGGTGAAAATGCATTGACAACGCTGTAAGAACAATTTGGCAACACTGTATAAAAATGCTTCCTGAACAATGTTTGAAATGCATTGCCAAAGTTGTACGGATACTTTGTCAAGATTGTAGGAGTGTTTGGCTAAGATTGTGAAAATGATTTGACAACGCTGTAAGTACGGTTATGGCAACACTTTAAAAATATTTTGTGAATGATATAGAAATGCATTATCAAAGTTATAGGGCCACTTTGTCAAGATTAAAGTTTGCTTTGTCAAGATTGTGAAAATGCTTTGACAACACTGTAAGGACAGTTTGGCAACACTGTAAAAATATTTCGCGAATAATATAGAAATGCATTGTCAAAGTTATAGGGCCACTTCGTCAAGATTATGATTTACTTTGCCAAGATTGTAAAAACGCTTTGACAACACTATGAGGCAAGTTTGGCAACACTGTACAAATATTTCGTGAATAA